AGATATTTAAATTTAAAGTTAAGAAAACTTTTACTTAGAAAAAATTTGTCCCATTTCTACTGACTCCCCCCATATAAACAATAGTTTGTTTATATAGAATTTTACATAGTTAGCCAATCGTATTTTAGCAATATCTCGACAACTACTAGACTGTCTTTGGTGATCTTACCACTATTAGATATGCCTTGACAAGCTCTACAATTTTTACTTAATATAGAAGAGTGATTAACTTAGTACGAAAAAAAGTTTTCTTTGGGCAAATGCTATATTCAGAGTATATATGATTTACATAGTGATCTGCATCATGTTACACTATAATCATGCACCAGGTGACTGGTAAATCACTAATTAAATCTTAGCACAACTCCTTTAAATACTCTTCTCTACTTCGAATGCAACTCCTACTGCTCCTCTATTAAAAGAACCAGATAATAACCAAGTTCTTAATAATAATATTGAACTACCTGAAGAAGAAATAAATAAACAAGTATCTGATGCTAGAACTAACTCTACTGTAACTAACGATGAAGAACTTGATAACTACATAGCACAACAAACTAACCAAGCTTTTACTCAAGCTGCTGAAGCTATGGCTAGAGTTTCAATCCAGATAAATCCGTTATCCATTTACTTGCATTAACATAACCGGATATCTATCCATTTATATCAGATATCTGAAATAGATTAACCGAATCATCTGAAGTATTAGGGAGAACCATTCTAGTATCACTACTCTAAAAAATTTCCCAGGCCAAATTGATTTCAAAATCAGGTGTTATGCAAAAAAAACATAAAAAATCAAAACAAACTAAAAAATCCTGTATAGTTCATGTTTTATCTATAAAATTACCTTCTGTGTATTACAAAATGATTTCTTTGTGAAATTTTAACTTTATCTGCCTGTATATCTTCTATATATTTAAATTCAGATCCTTCACAAATGAATATTTTTATTCACTACAATTTATATGAATCTGATCTTAAAGAATGGTCTAGGGTCAACACCACAATGATACATGATGAATCTAAAAATTCCCGCTATAAACAAAATACAAACTCTGGTGAATCTTCTTGAAAAGCTCTTTTTAGCTTTAGTTCCGATGCACCTCTCAATTATGCTCATTCAGATGTTTCATGGAAAGTGACCCCGGTCACAATATGAATACTAAAAGGTCAATGTTGAAATCAAACAATGATATAAGTCATCAGTATAATCATGAAAATTCATCTTTTAACAAAAATAAATGGACCACTTATCGACCATCAAGAGTGAAGAGCAAACATTTGTCGAATTCAATGATTCTTCTCACTATCAGAGTGATGTATTTTCACATAACATTCAATACCAATTGAATCCCAGATAAAACACAAGGTCTCCTCCCAGTACTCCTAAAATCTGGTCTGATGTTACATATCGCTAGGTGAAGGTTCGAACTGAATTATCTAATCAAAGTGATTCAGGTTCACCTCCATAGGAAGACTTTTGTATGATTAGCTGTTTAAATTAATTTAATTTTACATTATTTATACAGGTTAAAGTACTTTTTTTAAAAAAAATACAACTACGAAGAATAAACAAAAAAGAAGTATGATACTTCTTTTTTGTTTATTCTTTGTAGTTTTAGTTTTTTAAAAAGTACTTTAAACTTCAATTATCAGCCTACTACAAAATCACGTAGGCCTCAAGTTTCTGCAAATTCAATCATAGATGTAACGAACATTCAATCTAATCCTCGAAGTGTTGCAACTTATGAAGACTGCAAAACAGAAGATATATATTATGATGATAGCGGTGACAATAATGATGAACCTGTTAATGAGGTTAAGGAAAATCCTGTTAAAGAGCAGGACAAAGATCAAGAAGAGCTTAGGGAATTAATGTAGTTATTTTCAGATCCTAAAATTCAATACAAAGGTATGTCATTTATAATCTTCACATTTTGTTTTAATACTGATAAGAAATTATTATTATGATTTGCAAAATAATTGAACAATCACAATCACATATTAATAATAATTACATTGTTATTAATATGCGATTGTTAGATGATGATTAATCAATGCAATCCAGAATTTTGCAAATCTCAATAAATACTTTTTATGCTGTTTTAAAGTTTCTTGATCTCAGAATTTCTAATAAATCATTCATGTCGATAAATGCTACTCTTATCTCTACTGTTGAAGACCAATCCAATAAAATAGCCAGTCTTACTTCATTTGAATCGATTATTGCTTCGAAACAGCAGCAACTTGATCATATTATTAAGATTGAAGAATTACTGCGTGTTATGTCTAATGAAATTTCTGAACAAGAAACAGATATTAAATCGCTTAAATCTCAAATAGGAGAAGCTTCGTAAGTATTTGCGAATTTGTTTGACACTTATCCATATATATTTGACTTTATATTTTGTTTAAAACTTTGATGAACAGAAATAGTGATGAAAAACAAAAGTGAGTCAGATAATCTTGAATACCGAATCCAATTTTGATTCAAGTTTTTTCCTGACAAAAGTTATTTTGCTTTCTTTATTATTATTCAGAACAATATTTATGTATCTATATTTTGGGAACATATGGAAATTATAAGGGCAATATGACCTTATTCTACGACTTAAAACTACTCTCTCTAAACTCGCTTCCCCGTATTATTTTGATAGAGGTAACTATTTACTGTTTTACTTTATTATAAAGAATTTAGTTAATAACTTTAATTTATAAATATTTTTATTGTACAGTAACTTACGATGATATTACTCTCCTTTTACTATGATAACATCACTACTTTATACCTTTTCGGTAATTGTATTAGCTAAACCAGCTAAACGGCTAGCTGAAAGGTCTAAAGCAAAAATTCAGGAAATATCAGGATGAATATATATATGTGATGTATTTATGATTTATTTTGATTGAACTTTTATAAGATTTAGACTTTTTTCTTTTTGTTCTAAACTTATTACAGCTACATACTATTTTCTACCACTACATTAATTACCAAGTTGTTTAAAATCACAGTTTATAACTTGACAGGCTATTATTTATTACGTTGTTATACTTAATAAAGTGAAACGAAGCCCTATTCAGTATTAAAAAGCTACTATTATAAGGCTATACAAATTTAATGTCTTGGTTTTATGACATGAGACTTTTAAATAAACGTGGTTGGCTGACTTTTTTTTTAAAAAATTTCACATATAAGATTTTTTTTAAAAGTCCACCCAGCTATTATTGCAGCAAGGACTCATTTAACTATTAATGCTGAAAAACAAATTGCGACACCAAATTATGTTCTTGCAAAAAAAGAAGTTTATTATGCTCAAGAAAATGCGGTTGTGTTCTACGTGGGGAATGCAAAAATATTTGAATATACGCTTAAAGAATAAAAATTTGGCTAGTAATTAACGTTGGGCGAACATCTAATTACTTGTGAGTTGTAACATAAACATTGGGCAACGTTTGTTATTTCCTCAGAATTTTGGGGAAAAACAAACGTTGCTGAGAAAATAACTTGCATCACAAGAAACACCGTTTTTTTTATTGATTATAGTAACTATAACCCATTATGATATCATATAAAAACAAATAATAATACCCTTATTTCCCACAAACAGAGAAATAACCTGGTAGATCCCAGCCCACTGGGACTTTTTGGGCCTAAATAACGGAGATATACCTCTTATTCTCACCATTGCAGCGAATAAATAGTGCTTCAATTAATAAAATGTTTGCCCCTGCATCGATCCTGATTAAAAAACAGTATATCCCTTAAACCGTCAGTGGTTAGCGGGCATATTTGGCTGCTAAAATGTTAAAATTGTTATGTCTGATCTATTT